TGATTTGAAAAAACAACTAACACTTTTTTAGTTATAGAATAAAAATTTATTAAATTAAAAGTTCAATGAAAATGAAATGATATATATTTTTCTATTTGATTTATATTTCAATTTGGTATAGTTGAAAAAAATCGAAAGTAAGAATAGCTAATATTTTTGTTATAAGAGTATCAGATTTTAATATTATTACTGACATCCAAGCTAAATCAATTATAAATCAAATGTAATGTTGATAAAATTATAAAAGGTTATATATAAAAGTAATAGAAATATTTTCAATGATTTCTTAAATAATAATCAGTATATTTTATGTGACAACAAATGATGTTTTATAATATATGTTTGTTTCAGCTTATATTAAATTTTCAATTTATAATGAAATTTTCTTATTAAAATCTGATACTCTTATAAAGAAAAAAATATTAGTTATTCTTATTTTAGATTTTTTTCAACTATACCAAATTGAAATATAAATCAAACAGAAAAATCTATATCATTGAATTTCATTCAACTTTTAATTTAATAATTTTGATTTCTCTAATAATAAAAAAGTTAGTTGTCTTTTCAACTCAAATCAACAAAATTTAATAAAATGTAACAGATAACTTTAGAATAGAAACCGATTATTTATTATTTTCAGTATAAAGTAAAATTCAAATATTTATGAAACTAAAATATATTTAATATAAAATAGTTTTATTGTAAACTTACCCCTCCGTAGGGTGGGCCAACCCCTAGTTATAAATACAAAGAGGGATGGTTTTTACTTATATGTTTACTCCAATTTAACTATATACGTAATAGTTACTCGGTTCTCAATTATTCAATATACTTTTACTGCATAATACGTAAATAGATATAAAATAAATAATAATATGTATAAATGATTTTTATACATAATTAATGTTCATTCTGCGCAAGAATGACTCTCAAAAGTTATTTATTATTTCAAAAATATAATCTTTATATTAAAGTTAGATGGTCAATTTTAACATCCAGATGATACTATTAAAGCTCAATGTAAATAGGTTTTAAAAAAAAATCAAAAATATCAACAAACATTATCCTACTGATCAACCTTTTATTAACGGTCGAATATAGTTTTCATATTAAAGTGAGATGGTGAATTTTAACATCCGGATGATACTATTAAAGCCCAATTGAAATAGTTTTTTTTTTTAAATTAAATCAAAAATATCAACAAATATTACCCTACTCATCAACTTTTTATTGACGGTCAAAGTTATGACGTGATGGTTGAACTACCAAAATTAGTATTCAATGATTATTAATATATAAATTTCATCCGCGCATATACACGGGGTATCACCTAATATTCCTAGTAATTACAGGATAATTTAAAACATCATGTGAGAGCGTATTAGGTGACGAAACATCCACATAATAGAGGTGTAAATATATTACATAATCAAGGTTATTCTTTAAATTTGCTTTTTTTTAATAAGAACTAGGTATTTTTCTGCACCATGTGGAGAAATAAAAATTTTTAAAAAATTACTTAATTTTTATTTTTTATTTTATTACATTATTAATTTTACATTAATTATATGTAAAATTAAGATAAAATAAAAAACTTTTATTTAAATTTATATTTAATAATATATATATATATATGTATATAATTAAATTAAAATTGGGAATTGTTTTTGGTTAAAATATGTTAAATCAGATTTTATACAACTAGAAAATTTTTTGTTAGGTATATAATTATCAAAAATATAAAATTAAATAATATTTCTAAAAATTATAGATGTTATAAATAAAACTAACAATATTGAGATTAGAAAATTATAATTTTTATAAAAATCCGCAAAAAAATTCAAAAATTATTAATAAAATTATATAATTATAAAAATATACTTGAAAAATATTTTTAAAATTTGTAAATATTGTTATATTTCAATTTTCTACTATCATATTATTTATTGTTATGTTAATGATAATTTATGAGTTATTATCATATTCTAAAAACTTACCAAAAATATATATTAAACATTAAATGTAAATATACATGTCACAATTAACTTTAAGCCTTGTCATCATTATTAAATGACATGTCATCATTTTTTTGATGAAATTGATTGTGGCGATGACACATATCAAAATCACTTTGTAAATAATATATATGAGAAGATATATTTCTTTTAAAAATCTTAATTTCATAAATTAAGAACTAATTTGAACTATTTATAATACTCATTTTTAAAATATTTGAATATTTTTTGTCTCGATGAGTTCATTTGGAGATTTCTTCAAATTTTAAACCCCTGATTATACTTATTGTCAGACGGTAACTTCTGATTTTCTCAAAGTTCTTCTTGTCGGGGTTTTGTTTATTAAGAACCCAAACCAGCTCGAATAATTGGTTTGGATTGGGTACATGTCCAGTGGTGGAGGTAACTTGTATTTAGGGTGGTCAATTTACCGTGGTCAATTTACCCATATAGAATTTTGAAAAACAATGTTATTATATTTAAAATTTTCAAATTGACCCCACCTAAATTGTAAATTGACCCCATTAAATTTTAATTTAACATAAAATTCATAATTTAACAGCTATATTAAACATGAAAAATTGTATAACCCATGTAAATAGTTTTTCTGCCTCCACCACTGTACATGTTATATATTTTATCATTTGAGTGTTTTATTAATTAGATTTTCAAGTCTTTGATTTGGATTCGAGTCTTACATAAGACCTGATCGGATATCTGAATAACCCAAAAATGTTAATAGATTAGATATAAATATAATTTAAGATTAAGGTTAAATTTTCAAATATAGCTTCAGATTTTCATGTAATTTGAAATTTTACAATTTTTGTTTGTTTTTAACCATTATTGATTATATTTTGATTTTTAGATACTTCGTGTATCCTTTTCTCGAGAGTCTTCAAGGGGCGATATTTCAGGAATACTTCACCACTGAAATCTCCACGTTCTTACTCGCCTTCCTATGGTTGGCGTAGCATTATTTCTGCTAGATCTCTGGTTGTCAAAGGACTAATCAAACGGGTGGGAACAGGATCCTCCATTTCAGTATGGAATGATCCTTGCCTCCCAACCACTCGCCCGAGACCAGCCATTTCAAATATTCAAAATTACGATCCGAATCTAACAGTGGATTGTCTGATTAATCCTCAGTCACGAACATGGAATTTACCGGTTATTAGGAATCTGGTAGATCCGGAGGATGCGAAAATTATTGAAGCTATCCCTTTGAGCAAGACCAGATTACTGGATAAAGATGGATGACATTTTACGATTAATGGAAAATACACGGTCAAATCAGGATATCAACTTGAGAGGATATATCCGGACAGAGGAAATCCACTATTGGAATATGGACCCACTGTAGATCTGTTAAAGGCTCATGCTTGGAAGCTTCGCTGTCCTCCAAAGATGAGACATTTTATTTGGCAGATTCTAACGGGATGTATTGCGGTAAGGAAAAATCTGAGGAATAGGGGTATCCAGGGAGAGATACAGTGTGCGCGATGTGGGGCTGCTGAGGAATCTGTTAATCATGTGTTTTTTGAATGTCCCCCCACAGTTCAGGTTTGGGCACTTTCTAAGATTCCTTCAGGGCCAGGATTTTTCCCAACTCAGGCTTTGTTTACAAATATTGATCATCTCTATTGGAGGGTAAGACCTAAAATGGATGATCATCAGTTTGTATGGATCTTATGGTACCTTTGGAAGGCAAGAAATAATAAGGTGTTTAGTAATATAGAGGTACAACCTATGGATACCCTCAAGTTCGCGGAGACGGAGTCGATATTATGGGAGGAAGCCCAGGTATCAATTCAACAAACTGAGTCAACGGTGCAGGAGAGTAATGAGATAGGGTTACCACATATACCAGGTCGTTGGTGCTTCACTGACGGATCGTGGAAGGTTAATGAGAGGTTTTCGGGACAAGGGTGGTATAGTACTCTTCCAGGTTATCAAGGTTTGATGGGGGCACGGAATACGAGGCCGTCTCTATCGCCCTTGCATTCGGAGATGGAAGGTCTCATATGGGCAATGAAATGTATGCGAAATTTGCGCCAGACACATGTCACTTTTGCAACGGATTGTATTCAGCTGATAAGGATGGTTTCTGCACCAGAGGAATGGCCAGCGTTTGCAAATTATCTGGAGGACATCAAAATTCTCCAAGAGAGTTTTATACACTCAAGTCTCATTCATATTTCAAGAACACAAAATACAAAGGCGGACAGTCTAGCACGTAGTGCCAGGAAGCAATCGTCCTATGTTGTTCATATGGATGCGGAGTTACCATTGTGGTTTGCAGAGTCTGTTTAGAGTATATTTTATGTTGATGACAAAAAAAAAAAAAAAATACTTCGTGTATCTTTCACATACTAATATTTGAACCAATTTATATCTGAAAATTTGAATATTAAATAGTTTTGAAAACTGAGATCCAAAGAGTTTTAAAATTTATAGGTATCGCTATGAATCTAAATCTCTAAAATATGAAGGACTCAGATCTGATGGACGATCGAACCTAAACCAAATATCCGAATTCAGAAGGCTGAAGGCCTAACAACAAGCAAAGCACAAGCTGGTGGGTGGTCAATTTGCGGGTCCTGTGTGTGATAAGGATTGCTCAACGGGCCATTTCCCAACGGTTAGTTTATGGCACGTGTACCGTGTACAAATTCTCTTATCATTTGGGTCGACGCAATATAGGGGGGACTCATCTCTATTCAAAACCAATTATGCTATACTTGGAATTTCTACTGTATTTTTTTTGTTAAACCTAAAGCAAATGGCAAAATTAGTAAAGAATCTTAAAAGATAAATACAGAAGAGATATTAGGTGTTAAGTCTCCCGAATTATCTATTAATACAAATGTACATCTCATAATAATAAACTAATCGTAGCTGTCATATCCCTTGTTACATCTATAAATAAAGATATGTGGGCATGAGAGTAACTTTAATTATCAGAATAGAGATCTCCGAGTTATCCAAGGAAGGAAGAAGATGGGAGCATTCGAGGATAAGGTGAAGATGAGGGCAATTGAGCTGAAGCTTCTGTTGAAGAAAGGTATCAAAGTCGTGGGCAAATCTTGCAAGAAGGGATGGTCCAAAGTCAAAAAGCTTCGTCGATGATTTCCTCCTTCATTCTCTCCTACATCTTTGTCTTTGTTCCTTTTTTTTCCTTTCTTCCACCAGATACAGCAAACTTTGTCTTCTTCATACATTTGTGGGTCTTTTTCTTCATTTGTAATTGTCTTCTTCGGCCTAATTAATGACTTGGTTGGGTGTCGCTATTCCTTTTCTTCTTGTTCAATGATGGATATGATGAGAACTCTTAATATTGCACATGAGTTTTGGATGATGATGTGGTGTTAATCTCAACTTTATACGCTTTACGCTTATTAGATCATTTGATATTTCAGCCGTATGCGCATGTTGTGACGGTTATAGAGTCTTTTGACCCAAACAATCAAAGTGCACTATGGATTTGCATATCAGGCCTTTCGAATTTGTTAACTAACCCCTTCTTACGCTCATAAAAAAAACTCATGATATATGGAATTTTAGTATCAAAATGGTCTGTCAAGCAAGACTCCAATGTTTGTTCTGGCTACGACCTTACTTGTGGTTCCTCAATGTTGTACCGTCTTGTTCCCATTGCATCGACTATCTTCCAACCCAGTCCTCCACCTCCCTTCATATCGTAAAGTAGTTGATCGTAGGAAATGTGTCCTCGCTCGCTAAGCATCCTCAGGATGTTTCTCAAACCCTCCATGTCTCTTTGACCCTCTACATAATCCACACAGCTCATCAGCACAACCTGGTGTGGTCTCCACCCTGGCTGACTTACCTCTATCGCCTTCTTCCATCTCTCCACCGCCTTCTCCATCTCCCCCGCCATCTTGTAACCCAGAGCTAACCTCTCCCACGTGCTCGTCTCCTGAACAACCATCTTCGCTACTTCCTCCGCCTTCTCCATCATCCCCTTCTTACAGTAACCCGTTATTAACAAGTGCGGGATCCGGACATCGAATAAAGAATGTCCAGATTCCCACTCTCCCATAATCTTCTCAACACCCTCGACATCATCCACCTTGAAGAGCGCGCTGATGACGCTTATGTATCCAGTGTTGTAGAACCCGTCGAGCTCCTTGTACAAGGTCCAGAGACGGTAGACCTCTTGTCTCATACCCGCAGCGCCGTAGAATGACATGAGAACCTCGTAGGCTTGCTTTCTCTTCTGAGGATTCACCAACTGCTCCGATTTACGCAGCATCTCCACGGCCTTGTCGGTCGAACCAGCTTTAATGTAGGCGTTAGCAGCATCGGCGTAAGTGCGCCAGTCAAGCTCTAGTCCAGTGTCAGCCTCGCAGCTCATAAGAAACTTCTCCATTCCCTCCACGTCAGCTACAACGGAGTAGGCGTGAAGGCGCGTGTTCACAGTGAAGATGTCGGGCTTGACGTTCTCATCGTCCATCTCACGGAGAAGCTTCTCGAGCATAGTGTATTTGCCGCACCTGATGTAGAGGTTGAGCATGACGTTGTAAGGAAGACAACCTCTTAGGAAGCCGAGCTCTTTCATCGTCTGGAACAATTGGTCAGCTTTGTGCAAGACTTTCTTGCTTGCGTAGCAGTTTAAGAGCGCGCCGTAGAGATGGTAGTTCCTCTTTCCGATAGGAATCTTTTCGAAAAACTTGTCTGCTTCTCTCAGACCATTGACTTTGGCAATTAGATCAAGGCGAATGGCTACGTCTCCGTCAGAGATATCGTGAACTCTATGCTCACTCATCCAATCTGATATCTAATTAAAAAAAAAGGGAGGAATTAAAAAAAAAAAGGAAAAGTGAAGAAGAAAGAGAGAAGTGGAGACCTGGAGGGCGTGGGAGAAGCGGCTGAACTTGCGGAGCATCTTGACGATGGAGTGGAGCTCCGTAGTCTTGACTGTATTCCCCTCGTCAAGCCATCCTTCCAACACTCTGACAATCGAAGCTGAGGGATCGCCGGCCCTCGCTACTCGACGCTGCAGAGTGTCGTAGGGGTCCAACGCCGACGGTACGTTCCTTTTTGAGTGAAAAGAGAAGCTCCTCGGAATGTAATTTGGCTTTGGACGGACAAGACGAAGAAGGTGATTCATGCTTTCGGCGGCCGGTGGAGCTAGGGTTTAGGGTTTAACATTCACCGTGTCGTTTTCATTCGATTTATGTTGCAAATCCCTCTCACTCGAGTTAGTATTTTGACTTTTGAGAAGAGTATTACTGAGATGTCAAAAAAAAAAGAGAAGAGTATTACTGAATCAGCCTCGAAGCAACTTTTAATTTTTTTTATTACTAATTTCAATGGAGAGGGTTCTAAATGAAATATTTATTTTTACTTTTTGAAATGAAACACGATGCAAACGCGCGTTCTTTCAAAGACTTTGCTTGCGCTTTCCCCTGAAGCTCTCAAAGACGACCAGAACCATTGTGCCTCCACAATGTTAAGCTACATCATCAACCTCTACGGTCGTTATCCTCCTGGAATCTTTGCCAACACGTGCAAAAACGTCTCCTCTGGACTAATGTCACCGAGTCCGCATCCTTGAGCATCCACTATCTCTCTGAATTTGAGTAACACATCTCAAGAACGTGCTCCATGGGTAAAGTACACCTTAATATTTGTATATATTTTTCGTATTATGTACTCTTTAACTATTGTTTTTAATGGATTCATAAACTTATTCTTCAATTGATTATAAGGTTTATCACACAAATGAACTGACCATCATTACTCGATGAGGTTCATCTACTTTTCTCACAGGACCTAACTTTTGAGTAGTAGCTACAATGACCATGACTACAAAGAAACAAAGGTCAAGATCCATCTTACATCGACCTACAGGTCCCAAATAAGCTTCCTTCGCTCACCATATTCTCACCCATCTAAGTATCATCCCTTCTTTTCCTGTACCCAATACAGCACAAATTTCTTAGCCCAAAACTAGAAGCTCAACAGTGCAGACACCCACAAAATGCCAAATGCAATGCATAGATAATGAATTACACAAGAACACGCTTCTCCAGCTGAGCATAGTGATTAGGCATCAAGGAACACACACACAAAGACAGGATCACTAAGTTTGTCAAACAAAAGTAGTCGTGTCAAGTGACTAGAATGCAGTCACTATAGATGACTAAAGCGAAGAATGCAGTCAATGTACAAGCGATGGTTAGTTAGTGTGACAAGTTTCGAACTAGTTTCAGCGCAGTGTATTGACGGCAAAAGTAGTCGAGTCAATTGACTAGAATGGAGTCACTATAAATGACCAAAAGAAGAATACAGAAAAAGATCTAAGCTTTGTAGTTTACCTGTGGCGTGTTCACGGAAAAGCCGGCAGTTGTGAGAAGCCTCTCAACATATTTTCCCATGATATCAACCTCCAAATTCACTTTCTGTCCAACTTTCTTAGTGGGAATCACCACCTTCTGCTGCGTATACGCAACGAGCATGAAATTAAAGCAGCTCTCATCATCAAACACATCCACAACCGTCAAACTCGTCCCATCCACAGCCACAAACCCCTTGGGGACAATGTATTTCAACAAACCCTCACCCGCCTTCACCTTCACCCACAGCGAATCCCCCTCAACCTCCATCGAAACAATCACCCCCCGTGTCGTCCACGTGTCCCTGCACCACGTGCCCGCCCATACGGCTGACCGGCTGCAGCGCACGCTCCAGATTCACCGGAGATCCTCTCTCCAGCTCCTCCAGCGAAGTCTTTCGCAGGGTCTCCGGTGCTAACCCGACGGTGAACTCCTCGGAGTCGAACTCCGTGACGGTTAGGCAGGTTCCGTTGACGGCGATGCTGTCGCCGAGCTTCACGTCCTCGAGCACCACTTTGGCGCCGATTTTGAGGTCGAATCCGCCGTGGGCAGCTAATCCAAGGTCCTTCACTTGACCCATTTCTTCCACGATTCCCGTGAATACGGATCTGATGCTCAGATTTTGCCTCTTCCGAGGGGTTGTGGACCTTATTCCTACACAAGTCGTCAGGTTTTTTGAGGATGAATCGAATCTGAGGAGATTTGGTCTAAGTGGAGTGGGAAGCAGATTGAGAGAGTGAGTGGCCATCATCATCATCCTCGTCGTTAGCCTGATGAATTTGTGGGCGGTGAGTTATGGAAACCAAAGTCCAAACCAACCACAGTGGGTTGTTAAATGAGGCATCTCCTCTGGAGTCCCTAAATGTCAAAAGGCAATTCACATAGATACCCATATAAATATAAAGATAAACATTTATTTAAAAAATCAGAAATGACAGAAATGACATTAAAACCGTGGAATAGTTGAAATATTTACAAGTTTTACCAGGGTATAACCCATCCGCCCCGACCCGACTCGAATTTATGGTCAATTCAGTTGAACCGAATCGTCTAACCATCTAACCAATCCCACGAAACCAAACCAATCCCTCAAAACCAAATCTAGCCCTCGAAACCGAACCAATCCCTCGAAAACCAACCAAATCTGTCGGTTGTGTCGATTTTCAATAACTCAATTTAGTTAAACCTCCTCTTGTCGATTTCGTTTCTCATTTTTCCTCTTTCACACTCGAGTTCAAACAAACCCTAATTTTGCTCCTCCCTAATTTGAATCAATTCTGTACCCAAAATCAACGGTGAGAACGAGAGAGAAGAATTCGGAGGATTCAATCGAGTGCGATGGTGGTCGAAACGAGAGGAGGAGGTAAGAGGAAGGATAATCCAACGAAGGAAGAGACTCGGAGAGTGAAGTTTGCAAAGACGACGGCGGTGGCCTCCGATAATATCGAGAAGACGACGACGGAGAATGTTGACTCGAAAAAAAGAAAACGGAGACTGTTGAATCAACATGACAGACGAGGGAGACGAGTGAGGACTCGAGGGAGATTATGGCGGAGAAGACGAGTGAGAACTCGAGGGAGATTACGGCGGAGAAGACGAACGAGGACTCGAGGGAGATTACGGCGGGAACGGAGACGAGTGAAGTGGCTTTAGAAACTGCTCCGACGACAGTAAACAAATGTCCTGCTGGCCCATCTCCTTTAGCCCCTCTAGCAACTCAGGCGATTGGGACTCATTCTGGAGATGAAGAAAATGATGATGAGAATGAAGTTTCTAAAGAAGGAAATGGAGGCGGAGAAGAAAAGGATGATGAGAATGAAAGTTCTGAAGAAGGAAATGGAGACGAAGAAGGAAAGGATGATGAGAATGAAGGTTCTGAAGAAGAAAGGGATGATGATAATGAAGGTTCTGAAGAAGAAAATGGAGAAGGAGAAGAGTTAGCAAATGGAGATAGAGCAACAAACGAGAATGAGAATCCACCAGAATCCGAAGTAAGAAATTGTCACTTAGGTATACTAGGGGAACTTGGATATAACTTGGATATAACTTGTAGCAAAATTGGTTATAACTTGGGGAAAAATTGGATATAAGTTTAGTATAACTTGGATATAACTTCGGTATAACTAATTTAAAACTTTGGTATAACTTGCAGGGTTTGAATGGAAAGGTGGGACTCGATATAATCAAACCAACGAGCATGTTCTACAAGCCCAGTGAATACAACAAAAAAATAATGTTTGGCACAAGGTGTATGATAGCAGCTAGCACGATTAAGACGCTACAAAAATCTGAAACCCAAGCTGTCTAACGCGGAGTGGAGCAGGTTCACGGAGCATCCCCAATTCAAACACATTTTCCACATGAAGAGTGAGAATAACCATAGGGTTCAGGGAATGTGGATGTTGTTGCTGCGTACTGCTGGTAGCGAGAGGCGGGGAGAGAGAGGTGGTTTATTGTGAATGGGGTTGCCATCCGTTACGGGCTGAGGGAACATGGTTTGATATCTGGGCTATTCTGCCACAACTATCCTCTCGGCTACAAAGAGCTTGGTGGGACGAGGTTCGTTGATCGTCATTTCAAGGAAGGAGAACCTAGAAGGTTAGAGGATGTTAAGAAGAAGCTGGTGAACATGGGATCCCACAAAGACAGGCTGAAGATTGCGGTTCTATTCTTCTTAGATTCGGTTGTTTGTGCGCAAACCAAGGTTGGACACAATGCTAATGATGTGTTGGAGGTGTTCCAGAGAGCAGTGGACGATCTTAGCTAGAAGTTGCAAAATCCCATTAAACCAGCCAGTCGCTATTGTTGTCAACTGATGCAAAATGTTTTGTGTGTAACAACTTCTTGCATACCAGGCAATTCCTTAGCTAGAAGTTGCGTTCAGACAGCCTGTTGATGGAGAGTTTCCCAACTGTCCGAGGATGTGCAAGATCTCATTCAAACGAAATGGATCGACAGGGGTGCCACTTGCTGTGATAAATAAGGAAATGGTAACACAACTGTAAGTCTTCCTGTGAAACTGTGGTAGAACTATGGTAGAACTAGGATAAAACTATGGTAGAACTATGGAATAAGCTTAAAAATTAATTATGTTTGTGGCAGGTTATTGACAGCATCATCCTCACCAGAACCCCACAAGAAGAAAGGCTGTTCAATGAGATTTTGGAAGATGAAGACAACTTTGATGTACCCGATATAGCTGTGGATAGTTGGGAGAAGTGTTTGGATGCAGGTGAAAAGATATTTTTTAAAGACATGTTCGAGGAAGATGTAGCTGGGCGTGCAAAACAGCCAGAACCGATTGAAGATGCAGCAGGGGATGGAGTACAAATAGGTGAGCAGTCGGTTCAACTGGGAGATGTTATGAAGTTGGTGAAAAGAAAAATGAAACTGTTGAGGACAGTTGTTAAGAAGGTTGACCAGTTGAATGGAAGATTGGACCCACTTGAGGAGTTTGTAAAGGAAGCACAAGGCAAAGCAGCAGAGGTAGATGAAACAGAATCACAAGGAAAAGGTAAAAGCCAGAAACGCAAGAAGTCTTTGGGGAAAGGCAAAAAACAGAAAAGCTAAGTGAAGTCGAGTGAAGAACCTATTGTTTTATGTTTAATGTTTTTATTTTGTAGACAAACAAAGTATTTGGATGTTTATCTAGTTTGTGATGTGGATTTAGAACTTTAACTATGTTATGACTATTTTGTTATGTTGTTATTGTTGACCATGAGAGTGAGACATTAGCTGAATCGTCATTATAATTCTTGGACAGAGTACAAACTTTAAAATGAACATGAGATAAGATTAAAGACTAGCTTGAATTATAACATAAGTTTTGACAGAGACACTTATACAAGTCTTAACAAACAAAGACTTGTATTAATCGAAATTGGAAATAGATTGGGAAATACATAGTTTTTAGCACATCCATGAACTCAATACTTAGCAATCTCTTGGACGGGATGTGGAGGTAATAAGCCTCTTAAGCTTAGCAATCTCTTCAGCCATATCATTGACCTCCATCCTTAGGCGCCTTACTTCATCCTCAACACCAAAAGTCCATGGTTGACGAAAGTGCATCCCATCGTCCTGTACAGTTTCACCCAGAGTATACCTCAGATTCACCCAGTATGACTAAATACAGTTTCACCCAGAGTATAACACAGTTTAACCCAGTATGATTAAACACAGTTTCACCCAGAGTATAACACAGTTTCACCCGGTATATAACACAGTTTCACCTAGTATGATTAACACAGTTTCTACAAAGAAGGAAATTACCTCATAATTCTTGCAAGTGAAGTACCTACTTCCAGGAAAGGTAACGAAATCGTGGCGATACTTTGGATTTGGAGACACATCCGTCTTGATTTCACCACCACATGAATGGGCAACGGGTAGGAATTCCATATTGAGCATCGCAAATGTAGCCTAACATGTCGTAGTGTTTCTTCAGCTTCTTCATCTCCTTCTCCTCTTCGTACGGATGAGTCATGGTCAGTAAAGGGGAAGGGAAAGAGTAAAATCGTGGATGTAGAGAGAATATGAGGATAGAGAGGAAAGATAATGGATTATGAGATGTGTGTGGGAGTGCGAGGACGAGATGAGAGAAGAGAGTAGAGAGAGAGAGAGTGCTTGGGAAGTGACAAAAGTGAGTAGACAGAGCAAAGTTGACGAGACAAGAGGGAGAGTCACGAGAAAGGAAAAGAGCAGAGGGAATCTAACTTTAACCGAAATAATTGAAAATTTTGGAATAGTTTTGCTTTGGCGCGAAAAAAATTATTTCCCCCCCCCCCCAAACAAATTTGCTCATAATTTTACTGAAGTTTCAGGTGTTACCAAATTTCTTCATATTTCTATTTTTCGTGATTTCAACATTTTTTAGTTTACGTATAATCTAAATTTGTGAATAAAGTTGTACTTGTCATTTTTCCACATTACCAAGAAAGCATAACTGATAAGTGCAATAATATTGTTAAAATCACGAAAATTATAGAGTACTACTTTGTAAGCTGCTCTTTATTAAGAAAGTGATCTAGGAAAGACTATATAATGCATAAGAGAAAATGTGATGTCGATGAATCATGTTAGTTAATATTTGTTATTTTGCAATAGTATTGTTGATGAATGTGATGTTGATGAATTAGGGACGATTTTCTAATGAAATATACAAGTTACAACACCTTCGTTCACAGCACGTTATCAGCACGGCCGTCTCTACCCTAAGCAACAAATCCGACTTCTATAAACCCTAGCCGGCGCTCTCTCTCTCTCTTCCATCCTTGGTGTGATCTCTCTTTCTCTCTGCATCTCAAATATCGACTTCAATTTTGTAGCTGCAGAAACCAGAGTCACTTTCAAATTAATCCGACCATAAGCTCATACATTCAACCACACGCCCAAAGGAGGTCCAGTTAGATCCATTGGTGATTTAAGGTACAATCTTAAACCGTATAACATAGATTTCGAAACCCCCCTTAATCTATGTTAAATATGGTGTTTAAGAATCCATAATTGATCCCCTAAAAGCCTATTTCATGCGCATGAGTGAAAATCTGCATTCAAAGCATGATTTAACCTAAAAGCCTAAATTGTTAAACTCAAAATATTTGCTTGATAAAATTCGTTTGTTTGTTTATTTTATCAAGTTGTTTCGTGTTGAATGCTTGAGTAGTTCATCATGATAGATTTCGTGATTTAAGTTTGGTAAATTGATCTTGTGAAAACTTACGTATTTTAAGAAACATAAAAACCGGTTTTACGTGTTCTCTCTCTAATTAAACTCGATTGCTAGATTTTTGTTTGAGTGATTTAAAATTGTTCATGCTGCAGTAGATATGATAGTCCTTATTAAAATTTGATCACCCTGAGACTATTTGTTTGTTTGATCATTAGAATATCAAGATCTGAGGTTTTTAGAATCTGTTTTGTTTTTAAGAAACCCTAATGCACATGAAATTGCTAGATCCGATTTTGTATAAACCCTAGGATTGATAAAATTTCGACCTAAGTTTAATCTAGTATGTTTGTATGAACTTCCTGATAGTTTATGACATTGAGAAAAACTGCTAGGATAATAGCTTGCATGGAGTCGAAATCGATGAACTGTTTGAAAACCCTAGTTTTAAAATTCCTAATCCGACTAGGTTTAGTTTTTTTTTCTAAAATAAATCGACCAAAATTGATTAAGTCATGATAGTCTAAGTTAAAACTGATCATCCTGAGACTATGTGTTGATTGATATTTTTTTTTTTAGAAGCAAAACCGTTTTCATTGTTATGTTGAACTTTGAAACCCTAAAACCTAATTATGTATGATCCGATTTCTTGATGCTTGCAATGCTTGATTTTTTTTAAAAAAGTTTACTTGATTGCATGATCATCCTGATAATTTTAAGAATAATAAATCTGACATTAGGTTGAGAATGAAAATTTTGGTCCACCTTGAATGAAAATCGACCAATATAGCATAAAAACCCTAATTAGGTTAACTTGATCTTAAATTTTTTTAAACCTATGTGTATATTACGGTTTTACTTGTCATTCTTTTGCTTGATCACATGTTCCATATAGAACTCATATGCTAGGTTTTGATTGCATCATATCTATTTTGAGAAATTTGATTGCATCTAAAACCTAAAAGACCTAAAAGTGATCCGAGTTATTTGGTCTAAGTATGAAATTTATTAATTTCAGATGTCAAAACTAAGCAACCTAGAATATGTTGCCTTGAATGTCTCTGGTGAAAATTACTTGGAATGGGAACTTCATACAATGATCATGTTGAGATCAAAGGGTATCGGTGACACAATCACTGCTGGCAACAGTTCCAGTGATAAAGACAACTATAGAGCAATTTATTTGATCCGCCACCATCTCCATGAAAGTCTTAAAAATCAGTACTTGACCATGTACAGTCCACTAGAGCTTTGGAATGCCCTAAAGGCAAGATATGATCACCAGAAAACGGTGTTATTACCAAAAGCTACTTATGAGTGGAAAAACCTGAAGTTCCAAGACTACAAGTCTGTGGATGAATACAACTCAGTGTTATTTAAAATATTTTCAATGTTGAAATGGTCAAGAGGTAACTGAAAAAGAGTTACTGGACAAAACCTTTAGTACATTCCATACAAGCAATGTACTACTGCAACAGCAGTATAGAGAAATAGGTTTTGCCACATATGCTGATCTAATCTCCTGTTTATTGTTGGTTGAGGCCAATAATGAATTACTTATGAAAAAAGTGAGTTAAGACCTCCAGGAACAGCTCCATTACCTGAATCGTCCAAACCGGCCATAATGGCCAAGAAAGAAAGCAACATTGTCCAGTCCGGCCATAATGGCCAACATAGCAACCAACCCGGCTTTGACCGTGGGAATGGTTCTGGACGAGGCCGTGGCTCGTATAAGGGACATGGACGAGGACGAGGCCGCGGGAACTCACTCGGATTTGGCCGAGGTCGAGGCCGTGGCCGGGGTAAAAATAGGTCCTTTAAACCACAAAATAAATCTGACTTATGTCATAGATGTGGTATGGGTAATCACTGGGCCAAGAATTGTCGAACCCCCAAGCATTTGTGTGAGCTTTAACTTAAATATTTGAAGCAAAACCCGGAAGCACACATGGTCCAGAACGAGGGATATGATGGAGATGATGAAGACAGCATGGACTACGTCCAGAATGACCAAGAGGAGTCTCAAAAACTTGACCAAGTTGATCACATGGATTATGAGACTGCCGACATGTTAAAATAGAATGTCTTCTATGACTGTTTTGTTTCCTTTTGAATTTGATTTTTTTTTCTTCTTCTTGATTGAATTTTGTTTGAGATCTATTTTATTAATGGAATTATTTTGTTTTATTTTAATTCTATGATTCTTGATTTTGAAAAATGAAAAAAGGAATGGATACATTTGTGGTGGACAGTGGAACCAGTCACACCATTTTGAGAGACAAACGATATTTTATCAGCCTTACACGTACGGCCAGAAATGTCTCGACCATAGCCGGAATGGCCAGCCTAATAGAAGGTCACGGCCAGGCTCATATTTTATTCCTAATGGTACACATCTCGAAATATCAGATGCATTGTACTCACCAAGTTCAAATAGAAGCCTGTTGAGTTTCAAAGACATAAGGATAAATGGTTTCCATATTGAAACAATGGGTGGAGGAAATAAAGAATTCCTACAGATTTATGAAATCACCCAAGGCAATAAGAGAGTCTTAGAGACTATACCTGAGTGTGGGACTGGTCTTTACTATGCCAAGACCAGTCTGGTCAATCTTCACAAGCTCAAGCATCATCTTAGGAAGTTCCCCAATATTCACAAGATCAATCCTCACAAGCTCAAGCATCATCTTGGGGAAGATGGTTCTCTTAGATCAATTTGTGGTGTTGTATTTGGAACAAGAGTAGTCTTTTTTTATGTTGTATTTTGATGATGGTGTCTGAATGATGATGTTTTAGTGTGTCTTAGTGATGTTTTAATTTGTATTTTGGTGTGTCGAAATGATGATGTTTTAGTGTGTCTCAATGATGTTTTAATTTGTCCTCATGATCGTGTGCTCAATTTGTCCTTCAATTTACATTCAAAAATAACATAAACAGAGGTGAGACTCGAGCTTCTTAGGCGGAAATTGAAGAGAATCGAGCTTAGCTTCTTAGGGTTCTTCGTTCTTCGTCGATTTAAGATTTTGGGGATTTAGGGTTTGTTTTGTTTATAATCATCTCAAGCGAAAACGCCGTCGTTTCTTTTTGATTCATTTAACTCGGTTGTCGTATGTAAAAAAAGGAACTCTGTTCGTCAATATATTGAAAAGCCCACTAGCTCAGTGGCAACTCCTCTACCATTACCATAAATTGGCACGAGTTCGATACGCGTTGGACACACAAATTTTTAATAACAGAAGTACATAACACGACTTCGTTTCATTCATTTGTCTTTAATCAGACAAAGAGATGAAACGACATCGTATTAGTTAACGCCAAGGATTAACGTCCACTTAATGACGTCTAAATTTTCTGCTAACTGGGTTTACGGTGACTTAATTTGGCGAGTCAACCGTAAGTATCTTAATAAACATAAAAACTCTACAAAAGCTAAGCGTTTTTTTGGCGAGCCAATATGTCCAGATTTCTTTTGGCAATTCGTGCAAAGTTTGTGCTTTTTTTGGTCGAATTCCCAATTCAAAACTAATCTAATTTTTTTTATTAATTTACATCCAGTCATTTATGACTAAATAAAAAAAAACAGAATCATTTTTACGAATATAATCCCAGTAAGTCTGTGAGTTGCTGACGACTTCCAAGTTAGTCGTCTCATGTAGTCGATCATAGAAATAATTTTTAAATTTAAAAAAAAAATATTTTGACAAGTGAAAAATTAAGATCAGGTAATTACAAACGAGAATTCGGCCAAAAAAAACACGAACTTTGCACGAATTGCCAAAAGAAACATGAAATTTTGGGCTGATCAAAAAAAGCATAAAAATTTCATTGAATTTACAATTAATTAATAATATTTTCGTTGACTTGCCAATTTAGCACGCCATCAGTAAATTTAACAGGAAAATATGACGTTGTTTATTGTTGGTGCTAAGTAAAACGACATCCATTTCAAATGAAATGAAACGACGTCGTTTTACATGATTTGGAAATAAAAACAAGTAGGCCAATGGATTCGAACTCGGGTTGTTTGGGTCCGTTACGGTATTTTACCACTGCGCTAGTGGTACTTCAATGGACTTATCAAACACATTTAATTTTATATTGTACTGACTGAATATAAAAAATTCTCTAAAAACTTTACAAAATCTTTAAAATTCCAAAAACAATTTGAAGAAATAAAGAAATTTTTTATAAAATTAATTTTGAAATTAAAATTAAAAAATAAAATTGTATTTTTATTTAAATAAATCAAAAGTCTTCCAAATTTTCAATTTTATTAAAACAAATTGCTAAAAAATTGAAATGAATTATACACACAAAAAGATACCCTCATATGAAAATTAAATTAAAATGCTTAAAATAAATATTATACCCATTATGAGTGCAATTTTAATTTTAGCTGATAACTGTAACTTAAGTTTTTGCATTTTATTTTTATTTTTAACCTTTTGCAATTTAAAAAAAATGAAAATTTTGGTAGATTTTTAATTTTATAGAAAAATAAAAAAAAAAATTTTAATTTAATTTCAAACTTAATTTTATAAAAAAATATATTCCAATTTTTTAGAATTTTAAAGATCTTTTTATGTTTTTAGAGAACCTTTTTTATATTGAATCAGTACTAAATAAAAGTAAATGTGTTTGTAATTCTATTGAAAGTGTCATTATCCTAGTGGTAAAATACCTTGTCATTGGTCCCAAACAACCCGAGTTTGAATATTGGGGTTTACATGTTTTTATTTTCAAATCATGTAAAACGACGTCGTTTTATCTCATCTGAAAACGACGTTGTTTCACTTAACGCTAACATTTAACGATGTTTTAACGGTGGGTTCACGGTATGCTAATATGGTCAGTCAATCGTAAGTTGCTTAATAAATTAAAAAGTCAACAAAAGTACAGGTTTTTTTGCCATGCTTAAATACATGTTTTTCTGGCAATTCGTGCAAAGTTCGTGTTTTTTTGAATTCTCAATTATAAACAAATTTAAGTTATTTAAATTAAGATAGGGTAAATCTCTCTAATAGAAACTTTAAAGTTTTTATCACAAAAATAGATCTCAAAAACTAAAATGATCAAAATAGCATTTTTATTTTGAAAATTGTAAGTTTTTTATTTTTATTTTTTAAAAATTTGAAATCCTACCCCCAAAACTCCACTCGTGATCTCTAAACAAAAAAGTATAGGATTAGTTAACCCAAAGGATATAAGTGTATATTTACTTATTTTTAATAAAAAAAATTTAAGTCTAATTTGATCAATTTTATTTTTAACGTCTATATTTGTGACAAACACCTTTTTAGATCTATCCTATAGAATTTCTCATTAAGATATAATAAATTTAAATAATTTTCAACATAGATGAGTGAAAGTAGTTGATCATAATATTCTTTGGTTTTAGGGTTTGACAACATATGTTGTAGTATTGTATATATTCTTAGAGTTAGATTTTGGAAAGCTTAAAAGTTTTTTGAAAAATTAAATTTTACCTTTACGCATTTATTTATGTGTATAGTAATCATTTTTTAAGTTTAATTTAACTTTATGAATTGTTTAGTTAATTAATTAAATTTAGGGGTTATGTTTACGGTCTAGACGACTAACTTGTAAGTCTTCTGGTGAATAATTTAATCCAGACGAGTTACATGTAAGTCGTCTTAATATTTCTGCCTAAATTTTATTTTCCCGCTTAAATATTTTAGCTTTCCAAAAAAGTATTTTAGTTTCTCGTTAAATATATTAAGTCTTCTGGATGACTTACAAGTAAGTCATTTATCTTCTGGACGACTTGCAAGTAAGTCGTCTGAATCGAACATATTTCACCTAATTGGATTTTTTTGTCTCCCTATATAAAAAAAACTTTACACACTCTTTCTCCTTCTATCAAATGGCTGCAATAAAAAAAATGTTCATCATTCTAAAAATCTCCAACCTCTCTCTAATCTCTTTGAACTTATAAAGACTAAACTTTATATCAATTATTGTTTTTGTCATATGTCTTTCTTACCAATTTATCTTGTTTTTGCAGGTTTTTCATCACATGGTTCTCATCCTCCACTCATTTAAAAGGTAGATCTATCAATTTTAGATATATATTTTTGTTTGTTCTATAAAGGTAGATTTATCTATTCGTCCACTCATTTTCTCTATTTTTAAGCCATTTGAACGTTTTTGGATATGCATGTTTTTCAGATATAGATTTGGATATTTATGTTTTTCAGATCTTGAAGACTTCTGAGACGACTTACCTGTTAGTCGTCTAAAATATAATGCGCTAGAAGACTTTCAGGAACTTTCAAGAAGTCTTTCAGACGACTTCTAGACGACTTCCAGGAAGTCTTCCAGACGACTTCCAGTAAGTCTACTGACGGAGTCTTCTCCCATATCTCTCCCTTTCATAACATATCTAAGCATTTTGATAAGTTTTTATGTCTAATTTTTTCATTTAGTAACTCTGTTGCATAAATTTCTTATCTTTTTCTCAAACTAAACTTCTCCAAACCCATTTTAATCTCTTTAACTTGAAAACACCAAATTTTATATGAATTTTCAGCTTTGCCTCATGTCTTTCTCACTAATTTATCCTTTTTTTTTCTGGTTTTCCAAATCTGAGTTTGATATACATGTTTTTTATATTTGTATCAGATTTTGGAAGACTTATGGGAAGTCTTCTCGGAAGTCTTCAAAAATATAATGCGCTAGACGACTTCCAAGAAATCTTCCCAGATGACATCCTCCAGGAAGTCTTCTAGAAGAAGTCTTCCAGACGACTAAAATATAATAATCTATAATAGTTTTGTTTGTGGTCTGTTTTGTGATTTACATGTGTACTCCTTTAATTGTGATTTTTTTTTTTTGTAAAATCAGTTATAATATTTCCCAAGATGTAATATATGCTCTAAAAATGTGTTTACATATTTACAAATCAATGAAATAATAACTTCAATAGCCTTCTTCTCATCTTTGGATCTTCCCGATGCAATAATAAACTCTATTGGCCTTTTTCTCATCTTAATAAACAAGAATTTTGGTAGCCTCGTATTGGTACAACATTTTTTAGCCCTTCTTCCAACACATAACAATAATCATCATAATTGGTGTCTATAACAATCTATATTATAATGAAACAGTTTCTAGGTTCCTTAGTGCGTCACGTCAGCAGTTTTATGGGTCCCGCGTTTATTTTAAAAGCCTATAGTCTTGCTAAAATGTCTACGAAAAATGAATTACAGTTTGGTTGAGTGATCTAAGGTGTAGTGTCTAGTCTGCAAGAGCGTGGATTCGAATCCGACATCTTACATGTTTTATCTTTATAAAACAAGTCTTTCTTTTTTTCTTGAAATTAGTCTTCAGGGGGACCACATCAGCAGCTATATGGGTCTTATCTATTTTTATTTTATTTTATTTTTCTATCTCAAGTAGATTTTATTTGATTTCTTTTCTATTCTTTAATGGACTTTGGAATATCCACATATGCATTTTATAAATATTGTGGGTCACTCTGCTTTTAATCATCATCCTGTAAGGGCTTCCATCTTATCTTCTCTTTCAAAACTCAAGCTCGCTGTTTCTATTTTTCATACACTCATCTCTTCGCCTCCCTTTCGTTATCTCTTCACTCTCCCTATGGTTCAATGTATATGTTTTCATTTTGCCATAATTTTTATTCACATTGGATCCAGATTCCATGTCAACGTCTCCATTTCCTTCGTCACAAATCTATAAATATGAACGATGGATGTAGTGCTGCTACGGATGAACAACAATTTATACTTTGTTCTACTCAGAATAATGGTGATGTGGTATGTGTATCTATTATGTGTAAGCAGTGATCCTTTCTACCATAAATGTTTCTTATCCCTTTTACTCACATGGACTCTGTTGTTGCAGTGTGGACAAATGAATCTTTTTGAGGAGCGAACTTGAGAGATTACAGCTTGCAATTGAGTAAGAAACTTGTGTTTGATCTTGTGTTAAAGCTTCGGTCTTTCATTATTTGTTTCATTGTTTTTAGCAGACTCAAGGGTACAAAGCTTGACCTTATGAGCTTTTTGGATCTTATTTCGCTTGAAAACAAGTTGAATGATAGCTTGCATAGCGTCAAGGATCACACTGGTGTGTTTGGGAGCAGCAGGGGTGAAGGCGGTGGTGGCGAAAAGTGACGCGATGATCTTTTTTAGTAACTCGGTGGTGACTGGGGAGATTTATCCGTTGGATTCAGAGGTAAGGGTTTGTAATGAGTCTAGGACGGGGGATGTCGAGACAGTGGAGTTGAGGGAAGGGCATCGTGTTTTGGTTAATTATACGACGGAGAGAGAGTATAAGCTTAAGACTACTGATGATGTTGGGCCTATGATTGATGCGTGGGATTTTTGCTTATGCCAGGAAAGCTTGGATGATTTCGTATGCATCTGCTTGATTTCGATGTCAGGTATGAGTGATGGAACTTAAGTCTTTAAGATCTTTCAATGCTTTTTTTTTGATATTATGTAGTGAATGATAGACAAAGATTGTTACTCTTTCGGAATAGTATTAGTCGTAAAGTAATCCTGGAAGCTTGAGAATGATGTAAATCATATTTTTTTTTCTTCCTTTTTCTTTTTGAGATAGTAATGTGGTAAAGATTTAGTATCTGTTGGATAAAACAAAGTGATCTCTCATGCTCCATCTTTCGTTATGCTCTCTGTTATGTAGTGAAAATTGGTATATGAGAGATGGAGATTGTTTATTTCTTTTAGAGTGAGTTCAAAATTTGTAGAATAATTGTGGAAGCCAAATAATTAGTGTTGTGTCAGTACTTAACTATTGGACGCCATCGATCAACTTCAGCAAGCATATCCATACGTTTTCAAACGATTAATTTATAACATTTTCTAAAACTATGTAATTACCAAAAGTACAATGGTCTCACTAATCTTTGACATTCAAAATTGTTAGTTGTTATAGTTGAAGAAAAAGAGAAACACTGTAACCAACATAGATGAATAAGTCTGCAGATGCTAGCGTTGGCTCTCAATCAACTTATATATGTAGAGATTTTAAGTCTAAATCATTTAAGTTTACAAAAAGTTAATTTAAAAAAAAAATAAATAATATTTTCATTTTATATTATAAAGAAATTAATTGTAGATACATATTTGATTTTCATATCTTCAAAGTTTGTTTTGATGTATGATAAATAATTTTGGTGAATAAATATTGTTAAACTAAAGTTATAATAAAAATTTGTTTTAACATGTTATATATATGTACAGTCATTTATTTTAAATAAAAAAAAATAAATAATAAAAAATATATTTTTAATAAATCTATAATAGGCAGAGACTTATACATGTATATATACATATTTTATATAAGTAAGAATCTATCATTATATTTTATATTTACAGTAGAATTATATTTATAGTTTGAACACTTAATATATTTTTTTATGAGATTTAGTAATATTATCTAAATCACATTTAAATTTTTTGCAATATTATATACATTAAATAATATAATAAAATTAATATAAATATCAAATTTTAAATTATGATAATTAATGTCGGTGCAATAAAATCAAATATTTTCCTTATCTAAGAATAAATATATTTTAAAATAAAAATGTTAATAAGAATTTTGTTATAAATTAAAGTCTTTATAAATTAATCTAATTTCAAAATCCCAACATTATTAATTTATAGAACTTCTACTGTGCCTAAGTAAACACTAACCAACCCCATATACTTTTCAACAAAATTAAAAATCATTCAGGACCATTCGACATCATGATGAAAAAAATAGTTTGATTTTATAAATATTTTGAATAACAATATATGGATAACTCATAACGCGCGAAAAAACAAACAGTAAAAAGATTTAAATGATCTGAATCAGAATCCAATGGTTATAAACTTACCTCTAAAAATGGAGATATGTCTTGAATTCCCAAATCCCAATTAGTATGAATACTATTAAAAGAAAAAGAGTCCTAAAAAATCTACTTATACAAGTTGTTTGGACCTTTTCATTTTAATCTTACCTATAAAATTTAACCAAATATTATAATAGCTTTGATTATAATAACCAAATCAGATCTTACGAATATTAGTATCATATGAATCTTATCAAGATCTTTCTCTAATATTTTAGGTAATATATTAAGTTTTTAATTGTTAAATATTTGCTTATCTTTTAGAAAATATTGTTGCATATCTGGTCTACTAAACCTTGGTCTCTCTAAATATTACGGTCACCAAAAGAGGTTGTATTTGTATATATGGCCATATGTAACATTGCATTCAAATATATAGGTTACTTTTAGTGGTTTTCATTTGAATCACTACAAAGCGTATAGTTTTCTAGACTCCCTAATAATATAATTGTACAATATTACACTATATTTTCTTATATCACACATTATTATATTAGATATAAATTTACTTCTCCCATGCGGTAATATAGTACTCATTTTCAAACTGTGCTATCAATCAACTAATTTTATTGTTTGGCTTCTTTAAAATGTTGGTTAGTTGATTTCAAATATATGAACAATAGCCAACCAGAACACTTTAAGTTTTAAACTATTATTTGATTGTTTAGATTTTTATTAAACTATCCTAGATTTTATTCAAATATTTTAAAATAAAAATATTTATATATTAAAATAAACAGATGTTCAAATTATACATTTAAAGTTTGAGTATCAATTTATATAAATATATTCTATAATTACCAATTTTTACCAAATGTAATGATATATATTTAAATATTCTAAGTTTATCAACTTTTATAAAACCATAATATTTCTATACCAAAAATTAGATTTAGATATATGTATTTTATTCAAGTATAAATGTATTTAAATTATTTTATAAAAAACATATTTATACTAAAAATGGTTATTTAATAAAATTTAAATACTATTAAAAATGTTATGAATTTATATTAATAAATTAGCTAAACTGTCAAGGAATCTTAGATCTAACCATACACAATAAATGTAACTTTTATAAAATGCACACAAAATACGAGAAGAGAGAGAGTAGGTTTAGACATTCGGATCTTTGGGTTAGGTATGGATTAGTTTTTTCGGGAATCAATCTTTTGGATCCTAGACATTTTAGATCTAAGTAGGTATTTGAATTTTTTTGGTTTGGATTCTTGTCGGTTCCTTTCATGCTTAGATCAATATATAATAAAGATTCCTATAAACTACATGTAATTTTTAAATACCTATTAGGTCCAGATCGGTTTAGATATTTAGAATCCGGAAAAAGCAGAAGTACCCCAAAACTTTAAAAATACATGAAAAACAAAAAATACCCAAAAATATTCAAATACTTACAATGACTCGACTTTGACTCATAAGCCAAAGAAAACCCAGACTTTATCTAAATACCCAGAAATCTATTTTAAATTTTGAAAATTTACATGACGCCTGAAACTATAAGCGAAAACCAAAACCTGAAATTTTAAAGAATATTTATAGTACGAAAATATATCTGAAACATTTCATGTATTTTTGTACCTGATAGGATCTCGAGTAAGATCCAGCCTCGAACAGAGACCTGCATGTCCAAAAAATACTGAATAGATACTTTACGGGCTTGGATCTGAACCAATATCAATGCATTGTCAATCTATCTATAGTTTTTAACTAGATTTAATTAAGAAAAATAAACATGCGCTTCAAAGCGCGAAGCAAAATCTAGTTTACACTTTATAGGGATCAAAAGCTAATAAACACACACACACGTCACTCTAAATCTCAGAATCAGCAAACAAGAATTGATTCTCCTTTCTTCTCATAACAAACATGTGTTCATCAGCATATCTATCACATAAATTTGATTAATTTCGCTTCATTCTGTTAATTGGATTCTAAATTTGATTGGTAGGCTTAGTTCAGTTTATGTTTTTTTTTTTGTTGGTGTGGTTATATTTTTTCTAAGAAAATTGAAGTAATTAAATGTTTGGAATAGGTCTTAGTATTCGAGTCTTCGGATGGGGTTTTAGATCGTTTCTTGTCGGATCTGGATCCTTTGCATATAGAAAAATCGGATTCAATAAGTACTTGTGATTTTTCGATTAGGTTTCAGATTGGTTCTTACCTGGTCTAAATAATTTAGGTTGAAAATCAAAAAACATGTGAAAAAACTTTTAATTTTGGATACTAACGGTACAATTCTAGGTTCGGTTATTTTTGTTTAATTCTTTAATTTTTTGTATTTTAGATAAAATTTAATTCAAAACCTAATTTTTTACCCGATTTTTTTTAACATATACGGGTGAAGAAATTGTTAATATTTTAGAAAAAATGTTAAATCATTAGTAAAAACAATATAAACCCATAAAACTAACTTTACAAACATAAATAACATTATATAACTCATATCAATTATACTACTTTTGAAAAATCCAATATATGCTTCTTCTATAAAGACTTCTGATAGTAAAATTGTATAATCTTAAATTATTAAAGTCTAACAATTTTAATAAATAAAATTTTGAGTAAATTGGGTGAAAAACAATGAAAAGACCCAAATTAAGTCTGTACCCATAACAGTGGAAAGAAAGAAAAGTTGTATACTAATAGGCATTGGTTAATGACGAAACCAGCCCTTCCAACTTGCACAATCAACTTCTGTCGAATTTTGATATGTAGGATTTATAGGTGTATTAAAATCAATTAGATTTTGCTAAGATTATGTGTAGATATTGTGTAGATATTAGAGGATATTATCAGATTGCATCGGTAAAGAAAATATAAACAATACCAACTTCAGATTAGTTCCTATCCAAATATTCTCTGACTCAAGATCACATACCAAAAATAAATCAAGCACAAAGATTTGCCTCCTCTCTTTCCAACAAATGTGTTAATATACAAAAATAATGTCAAATGTTTCAATTATCTTCTCCACAAATGTGATCCGTGAAATTTAAGACCCGACTAAGTAGACTAGACAGGTCTATGTTGGTTCAGTAAGTTATCTAGCTAACATGGACACACTTATGTCAACAATTTTCATTGGACGGTCATCGGTACTAGTGGCCATGCAAATATGATAATACCAAGCTATAATTGTATAGTAGTCCAGGCCAACAACGTTTAGTTCAATGAAAATGTCTGGCTACCTTATACATCAAAAGATCTACTAAATGTTAATAGAAATTTTGGCTATGCAAAAACAATAATGGCAAGCTAATATCATTAACCCGACATGTAAAATGTTCAATAATATTTTCCACTATTTTGGTATCTGTAAAGTTTAAGAGCTATTTATCTTAAATCCTAAATCGTGAACCAAAAATTCTAAACCCTAAAACTAATCCCTCACCCCACAACCCTAGACCTTAAACCCTAGGCCTTAACCCACAAATTAAACCCTAAAAGTAATCCCTCACCCCTCAACCCTAAATGAAAAACCTAAACCCTTAATTTTAAACCCTAAAGCCCTATCCTTACA